GTGACTTCTTAACGTTGATGGGACGGTGGGGTAGCCTAATGGTTAAAGCGTTCGTTCGTCACGCCTAAGATCAGGGTTCGATTTCCCACATGGGTACAATGTGCGAAGCCCATATCGTTGGAACACTGCTAACGACGGCGTAAAACCATACTCACACAGTCACTGTTCGTGTTGATTTGGAGTCTACAGATTCGTTCCTTGCGACGATCCTTTGTGAATAAAACAGTTTCCAAAATTTCAGTTTCCAAACTTTCATAGTTTATCCAAACAATACCAACGAATTCATACTATATGTAATATTGCGTGTCACGATTAACGGGAAGTACGTTACATGTCGTTGGATACATTCTGTACCGCAGTAGTATTCAAGTATTCACATGGGAAAGGCAACACGCATAGAAGTCCTTAGAATTCAATATTCGATGAGGCGTAATCTGAAACATTCTTTTCTATACCGAGCAAGTTTAACGTCCTGGTGTAGAACGCAGTCATAGTGGCAGATAGACAGAGAGCGTGCGTTTTGCTGTCTTAAAGAGCTTCCGTATGTCTCATGAACCTATTCGGTAGAGAAAGACTGCTTCACACTCTGACGCACACTGCCGCCCTCGGCGTAGTGTCCCAGAGCTTCGACCTGGAAGATCCACAGACGGGCGAATGGTATTGTCTAGCAAACACCGAGCAAGCAACATTTGACTGGACACCGCGGCGTATTGTTACTCTTGTGAAAAAACGCAGTAAATATCATTTCATGCATTTGTAAATGGATCGTGACTTATTTTTGTAAATGTGGTAGTATTGTGCTTTTTGGGTTTCGTGTTACGGCTTGTGGTTTCTGCCATTAAATGCCGTTTTATTGATTTTAGCTGTGGCCAATTCAGCAATATGTTTTTGATATCTTTCCTTTATGTATTTAATGAATTTTAGATGGTGCATGACCCGTGAAGATCCAGGTTAGAATTCGGCCTTAGGAAACCCATGCTTGTCGTAAGAGGCGACTAACGGGATCGGGCGGTAAGGCTCGATGACTTGGTTGATACATATCATCGTATCCCGATTGCGTAGATCGATGTTCATGCTGTTGATTACTGGATTATCTAGCAAAGATTTGATTATTTACAGACCGCCGCGATAGAGCTGGAATATTGCTTAGTGCCGCGTTAAACAATAAACAAAACAAAGAAAGATGGTGGTACACTCACCCGTGTACGCGATAATTATCTTCCTTGCTCATGACTAGAGCATGAATTGTCTCCATTAACGTGATCAACTGTTGTCACTAACGGCCAACTAATGATAGACAACTTTATTGTTAATCAAACTTTGCGGACACCAGGCAAAAGTTCGAACCTACTATTACTTTGTTTGTCTGGCACCTGAACCAAATCCAGTGATCAGTATGAATTTATACAAGCGTCGAAGTCTAAAGGCATTTTCGATTTTCAATTTTCTACGGTTCGTTAATTTCAGCTGACCATGGTTTTGTTTCCAAGCCTCGCCATCGCTTCATCTGTTGTTGGCGACGTCTGTATCCCTGGCGCTCGTTGTGGAAGGTAATGTACACCTATCTATGTCATTTAGATAGCGTCACTGGAACTATACCCCATTTGAGATCCCAGTGGGAACGGTGCAAACTACCTCGGGAGGTCATTCTGTTTACAGAATTGCAGTGCACCCATTCAGTCACGTTGTTGGATTATTGAAGATTATGACGCTAAACACCACCACCACCAACAACAACAACACTATTCTCCCAGGCGTGAAACACTTGTTTCTTGAAGCCACGTAAATCATGTTACGCCTTCAGATGGTTGGCTCGGGGCCTAGCCTTTTATAATAAGGGGCAATTTAGCTTTGCCGAGTAGCCTTCATTTGGTGTGCCGGACATCTTTGGCCACATCAAGCTGGAACACAGAATGTTTTTTCCCAAAACACCCACAGCCCAGTACCCCTACCCATAGTTAAAAAAACAAAGGGATTTTACCTACTTATGGAAAAGTCCCAAAGAATAATTAGTCAATGAGAGAGAAGTATGCTTCAGTGAAGCGCCAGCCCAGCATCCCCTGAGAACTAGTCTGTCTGACTCGCCTTGCTTAAAATTCAGTACTGTTAACAGTGGCGTTATACAAAACTCACACAAACATTCTGAAGGATATTAGGGCTGGGACGGGTACTCGGGTACTCGAAATCTGCGTCGGGTACACCTGGAATCGAGTCCTATTTCTAGGAATCGAGAATACCCGGAAAGGGAGAGAACTCTGTAATAACAAGGGCAGATAATAACTTGTCTTTTTCTATAATTGACGTAATAATACATTTACATCATTGGTATTGTCCGATTAATGAAGGTTATTATTAACGACTGTAATTTATCTACGCATGAGCGGGGAACGAAAGGTTCTGTGTTTTAACGAGGAATGTAAGTAATGCTGTTACTCTTTATGTTGGTTAAATAGACGTAAATTAAATAGCCTAAGATCTGTTTTTAATGTCTTTTTTGTCATCCTTTCAAGTTTCTATAATAATCTCTGTCAACTCGTGATTGAATATTCAGACAGATGACAGAAGCGTTGTATTCCTTACATTTCCGGGTACTCGATTCCGATTCGGTAAGCACACGCGGGTACTCGATTCCATTTTTCTACCCGTCCCAGCCCAAAAAGGATATAGTTTCAAAACGACGTTCAGTTGAATTGTTTCGTGAGTTCAATATTGCTTCAGTCTTCATCTGAACACCATTGACCTATCTTTGTGGGACAACAGGAGAATAAGACTAGATGACTATTATAATGAGACACGCCGCCCTGTAATACCTTTGAGGATCCTATGTATAATCGGTGTGTATCATAAGTTGAGTTTTATCATAGCGTGTCATGTTAATGTGAAATGAAGAAGCCCAAGAGTGAAGCAGTAAAGTAAACGGATTGGTGATACCTACGAGAAGGCATATAGTGAGTGAGTTTAGTTTTACGCCGCTTTTAGCAATATTCCAGCAATATCACGGCGGGGACACCAGAAATGGGCTTCACACATTGTACCCATGTGGAGAATCGAACCCGGGTCTTCGGCGTGACGAGCCAACGCTTTAACCACTAGGCTACTCCACCGCCCCAGAGGGCATATAAACAAACAAACAAACATAGAGGGTACATCAACCCATGGGTCCCGAGGGTCCGGTGAACAACGTAGTTATCTTACCGAACACCTCAATGTTATGTTTGAACTGTTTGAAGCACGGGTATTGGATCATAATAAGGAGTACCGGAGTTAGGCAACAGCACAAACACTACTAACAGGAAGTATCAAACGAATTCCCACAGTTCGGCATTTCCAGTGGGTAACATAGAAAATATGTAAACTCGTAAGCCAGGGGTACATCAAGAAAACGACATTTATGTGTGAGGTAAGACAAATGACAATGGAATATTGGATTCAGACTGACCCGCGGATCGGGTACGCCAAAGGGACGCAAACTACACAGCGTGGTTTTACATATTGCTATCACCCATTTCTCGAAAATACTACTTCCCTTGTACGAATTATCACCTGTGACTAGCATGTCTTCCTTCCTTAGATGAAAGGTGTCCCCCGGAATATTTTCGGCTGCCACACTACAATACCAACTGCTTCTACATCGGCTCATCTACCACGTGGACGGACGCCTGGAAGAAATGTCACAGTGACCTTGGTATTATGTACAGCTTCAATGACCTGTCCACGACGAATCCAGGCACTCCGTTTTCTTTCTACCTCAACATGAATGGTGGGTATGCAGATGAAGTAGATCATTTCCTAGCAAAAAAAGTCACACGAAACCCTGTTTGGATTTCTCAAGTGTTATGACGTGAAGCAGTTTAACAGTTCGACGTTACGCTTAAATAACAATGACGATGCCACTCATGATATGTCGAACTTGTCTGGGATGGCTGTCAAAACGTTCAGAGTAACTACACACACACACACACACACACACACACACACACACACACACACACACACACACACACTCTCTCTCCTCTCTCTCTCTCTCTCTCTCTCTCTCTCTCTCTCTCTCTCTCTCTCTCTCTCATCTCAAACTGAAGTTTAATTGGCGTTTCATTTGAGTTTGACTTCTCTTGACGGTGACTTAACAGATGGTCAGAGCTATCAGGCTAACTGGACACTGTCTTGCCGCAGCATGTCGAATAGCACGAGGGAATAGATAGATGACCAAGTTGTTGAGTGCTCATAAGTTGGTTTAAGCAATATAAAATAAAATACTTCTTTGAGTTGCATTTTAGAAGAAGTACAATGATAACAAATGTTATTCATGACAAAATGTGAGTGTGGTGTTTCGATACAGATTTCATTTCTTCTTAACACACGTTCGCACGCACGAAATGAAATAATAAGATGTTGTCCAGTACTGGAATAAAACACCCCTGTTTAAAACGCCATGGCGACATTGTTGATTTTAAACATAAAAATATAAGTGCCTTTTCATCGAGTCGGGTTTAGGACAGGACAAAGTGACATTACTCTAGTAAACGATTAACTAACCTTACGTTAGTAAAAGACAAAGGGAGAAATACATTTGTGTTTCTAAATGTACTTTAGTCATAAAATATGAATACTGATCGTGATTTTATGTTCAATAAGGTTTCTTTTCTTGAATATTATGGGTTTGTAGACGTTATAGTTTTAGAGTGAGTGAGTATGGTTTTACGCTTTTAGCAATATTCCAGCAATATCACGGCGGGAGACACCAGAATGGGCTTCACACATTTGCCCATGTGGGGAATCGAACCAGGTCTTCGGCGTGACGAGCGAACGTCTTAACCACTAGGCTACCCACCGCCCCTTATAGTTTAGAGCACCGTGTGGTGGTGTTAAGGGGTAGAGAACGTTTTATCATGATAGGTAAAGAGTCTGATTTTAAAATGTTGTCTTTTTTATCTATTAAACGTTGTTTGTTTTTTCTTAAATTTATATACAGTACATTCTGTTGCTGTACGCAGGTATTAATCGAACATGGACCGGTATACACATACTTGATGGGAAACTTAGAATGGATACTCTCGAGAACCCTGGCGATATTTCAGAGAGGTTTGTAGATGAAATTCACTCTTTTTCTGATTTTTCAGAAACACTGTCTCGTTACAGTCGGATCGTAGTTCCTGCAAGTAATAATAATGTGTCCATTTATATAGCACCAAACTCCACACTAGGTATGCTCATAGCGATAACAATCAAGGCACAGCACATTATTACCCCGGATAACCCAAGCTGCCTGTTAGGCGCTAGAAGGTTATAGTCACATGACTTATCCCACCGGGTACTCATTTTCTGCTGGGTGAACAGAGGCAGTCTTGAACAAACTCATTTGCCTAAGGTGAGACCACATGTATCACATGTGCTTCGTTGTGGGGCAGGACTGAATTCCAAGAAACTCTCAGTGCAGTATATGAAATAAGCCAAAAGCCCAGCCAGACATCAGGGCTGGTAACTTTAAAATGTTACCAGCCGAAAATGGATTTAACCAGACCAGACACCAAGATATGGTAGATTCACTCAGATGTCGGGCTGGCACGCTGTAAATGTAGACCGTCCTTCACAAATCTAGACCGTCTTGGGCGGTCGAACGGGCCTATATATAATTATTTCATACACTCCTTTCAGAAGCCGAAGCTGCCAAACACGGTCGCCCATCCAAATAGTCTCCGCGCCCGACGTTGCCTAACTTCACCTGATTTGTGACCTGAGCCCAATGCACAGGACCCCACACCCCACCAAGTATTATACACATGATCTGAGCACATCACATTACAAGGCATGTCCGAACTAACTTTCACAGGCTGTGACCGACAAGAAGTAGACATACACCCATTAGAAAGCAGCACTGTCGAGCCTACCGACACTTGTGTCACGACTTCCATTCACGACGGCGCTCTGAAAAACCAACATTGATTCCTCATAAAAGCGAGAGACAATGATTTTGACGGATGCCGTGGCAAAGCCTGTAACAATCGTGATTGACTCGCGTTATTCCATGGTAAACCGAATGGTACTCGAGTCCCTGCCGTGGCCATTTTTGTGGCCTGGGTTCCGTCTAAGCGCAAACGGGCGTAGGTAAAGGTTTGTCAACCCTTAGGATTTAAGCATCTATCCGAAACTTCACTATTGTAGATGCTATTAAAACACATCACACTAATTCTGAATGATTGTTTGACCAAGTCTTGGAGTCATACGCGCATTATAATCGGACATACCCCTCATCAATAGCCTTTTTGTATGTTACGGAAATTGTCGAGGGGTGACGAGTGTTTCCATATCTGGTAAGAGACACTCCGAGTCGGATGAAAAGTCGTTCTGACGTGACCCGATAGAGGATCTCCTGAGACCTCTGTTTCTTTGTGGGTTCGTATTTGAAGAGAAACTAAAGTCTGATTTTACTGTCTGTAATTTTAACATTTAGAAAAAAAAAATCGTCAATTATTAACAATTGAACATATATACTAATGTAATAACATTTTCGAAGTTTGCTTTTAGTTTGAATTCAACAATTGCCGTGAACATTCTCAAAAATCAATTTTAATAATTGTATATACTAAATACTGTACTATTTGTATATACATGAGTTTCAAATGAAATATTCAACATTGTTCCCTATTGTTTTGCACCAGGATATATTGGGGTCCTGGACAACCTGACGAAGGAGAGCCAGGAGACAGACAGTTGTGTACATCAGCAACCTTCACTGGTACGAATATTTCACTATCAGAGTCATTACTAAACAAAGCAACAAGAACCTGACTGACTGAAGCTCTGATTTAGGAGGAACCAGAGACATGGTGCAGTCAGTAACCAATGATTGTTTTGAAAATACACCCTTTAAAAACCCGCAGGGAAACCTGAAATCTGAAACACGTGCATGGATTGTGATTCTTGATTTTGACGGTTTTCGAGAAGGTCGATAAATCACTGTAGACCATAAATTTGACAATCATCTTGCACCACACAGTTGTTTGAAAATGAAAATTGTTCACATGCACATTTCACGTCATACACCAATCATCTTTCAAGAGCGATTACTGTACAAACAACTATTGTCATAAGGAAGTGCAAATGGTGATGCACTCTCAAAACATTCATTATTATCATATCAACATTGATTGACTCCGATATATCTCCCAATGTTTTCAATCGTAAATTAAAAATTAATAAAAAAAGTTTCCCTACATTTTATTTTGAAGAGTACATACAATGTGCAGCTGCATTGTCGTATGGAATTAACATGTTTCAACTGAATTGAACTGAACTGATCCTTGACCTTACTGTATAACGCCTTACATCTAATTGGCGGAAAATAGTTATATTCTTGACATACTTCTATCCGCAGCAATAATATTATTTGACGGGTCCCTTTCCTCTTTATTATATCACAGTTACTGTTTCTCGAAGGCGAAATGTTGTTTTTTCTGAGGGGTCGCATCTCCTTCCGCAGAAATAGGCGTCCCTTCACCCTGCCAGGACCCGTTTATTGGTGCTTGAAAATGTTGATTCGACCTGATTATGATCCCTGTCATCATCGCGTAATCGTGTCACAATACAATGTGAATCCTGGATCATGAAAAGATATAGTATCCCTGGGATGATCAAATATATGCTTTGTCGTCATTTCAGGACCTGCTGAGACAAGAGAGCAAGAGACTCCTGAACCTCAAAGATGGGATTATACACCAGTGTCACTCACCGACTGTGATGCAGTGCGCCTACCATACGTTTGTGTAACCGAACAACTTTTGAGACTTAATCTCCAGATAAGTATGATCCATTTGTTTCCATAGAGTGAGTGAGTGAGTTTAGTTTTCCGCCGCTTTTAGCAATATTCCAGCAATATCACGGCGGGGGACACTAGAAATGTTTGGGTTTTTTCCATTGTGTTTCGAGTAACTGCCACAATACAATGAGAATCCTGGATTCTTTGTTTCAAATAACTGCCACAATACAATGTGAATCCTGGATCCTTTGTTTCAAGTTAGTGTCACAATACAATGTGAATCCTGGATCCCTTGTAAACTGCCAGCTTCAAATAGCGAACATAAAACTACTACGGTGGTGTAGCCTCTTGGTGTTAATAAACAAATTGTATGCATGTAACACTGCCTGTGGAATATGAGATCTTGAGTGGAGAAAAGCGTACTCTCAACAGACTTATGAACACAATATGAAATCCGTTAAACATGCATTCCGATTGTAAGCGATCGATAAAAAGCGAAGACTAACAATAATGAGAACAATAATAATATCATCACCATCAATATCATATCTGTGTACCGCCTCCGTGGTGTAGTGGTTAGAGCGTCCGCCCGGAGAGCGGAAGGTCGCGGGTTCCATCCCCGACCGCGTCATACCAAAAGACGTTAAAATATGGTACTTGTTGGTCCCTGTCTGGCGCTCGGCATTAATGGGTACAACAAGGACTGGTCGGCTCGGAGTCAGTATAATGTGTCTGAGTGGGGTATTCATGCTTAACTGCGGCATGGTATCTCAGTGAGCTAGCACTATAAAACCAGCTTAAGTCAGGGCTAGTACAAGCAGCCGCACATACACCCGCATGCACGTCGTCATATGAACGAAATATTCTCAAGCACGACGTTAAATCCAATTTCACCTCACCTCACCTCATATCTGTGTTGCACAGGATCCGTCCTCCCAAACACGCCCATACACTATTGCATCTCCATCAGATTCTTCATCACATAAACACTCAGCTGCCTCAAGTGACCAGTTCTGAACTTGTCCGTGTCTATGATGTCCATCTGGAGTTGCATCTGACCAGTACTGTTGTTGTACAATGACCATAATATTATTATATTCTTTCGTTATTCCAGTGTCGTCGTGTCCGCGCGGATATTACGGCTCCCCATGGCTCCAACAGTGCTACAAGGAGCAAGGTCTTGCTACTTTTGAGGACGCAGACAATGTCTGTACACAAGACGGTGGACGGCTAGCCCGAGTAGACTCCATATTCCACCATAACGTGGTTTCCCGGGCAACCACTCAACTGATGATGGGTATAACAGGTATATACTCACTCAGTAAACTACGTTTTAACTAACATGGTTATAACGAACGCCGGACATAACGAAATGTTTTGGGGGTTGGAGTGGTGTTCCCGGCCACTTGCTGATTCGAAACGACCAGAACGAGCAATGGGTGTAAAGAACTGTATCCATAATATATAACTGTAATATCTTAATGTTATCGATCTGTCTGTCTGACGTATTTGACCCAACGTATTTGACGTATTTCCAACGCCGTGGGTAACGTTCACGTGATATTGACAGCCATAGTATATCTCTATGCGCCTGCAATCTCTGGAGGTCAGAGTGCAGGCCAAGACGTTCCTTGTGTTAGTGCGGCAATTTTCTGTTTAAACACTCGCGCAAAGACGTGAAATATCAGAGGTGTCTTAAGATCACACTTAGAAATGACTTCTTTATTGTTAAGTAATAGACTTACTTGTATGAGCGGGTTAGCCGGCTGACTTTGTGTGCTGGTGATTAGGTGCCGGACTCTGAGGGTGTGGGTTCGAATCCCGGATGGGACTCAACCCAACAAAGGTACTAGAATCTGTACTTTACTGAGGAAGTGTAATCCCAAGTATAACTTGTGTTACATTTGACCACTTACTAAATGGCATTGTGTAAACACTCTGTGTGATGTTCAGAGTATCTGTGACAAGTTGCCTACTGACATTAACGGACATGAACCAGTCAACATATGTTCGACACATGAATCATTTTACACATCTGCAATAATAATAATTGTTGATGTCATAACAGTAAATTAAAAAATATAATGGTACGCATAGCCTATAGATTATTCATTATAGAAACTGTAGCGACGAGTCTATAAATAGAAAATATTCCATCTTCCTTTTTAATTGGTACCTGATGACACGATGTTCTGAAGGAAATATTCTGCTCCCGAAAATGCTGGAAAATCATAACGTGTTTTTATGCAGGACAGAAGTTTGGAAAATAATGTGTTTGGTAAAGGAAAAGTGCATGTTCACGAAAATGTCTACACACTATTCTTCATTTATGGACACTTTTTGTGGAGTTTGAACTGTTTGCAGAAGAGGTGGAAAGTCCGGTAAGTGGGCCTACGTGGGTCGGTGCTGGTAGTTCGTGCAACGTCATCGACAGACAGTGGTCCAGTATGTCTTACCACTGGAACTGCGACTCAAGACTGCCGGGTTTATGTGAAACACCCGCTGTTTATGAAGGTAACCCTACTACACATACACAGACAAGGCTGATATTTTGTTGTCAGTTTGTCTACTTTCTTCCGCTTACTAATCCCTAAACCTACCGTCCACAATGTGAATTATGATCCTCATTAAAACACTAACTTTCTTGCCAGGGCCACAAGCAAACTGTTGTCTGTTGTTTCTCATTACCGTTAAATGGATCAGACTGTCGATTTTTTTCATTTATTTTAGCCAAACAAATATGAATTAAAAACTCTCTCTAAGCATGAAAAATAATGGTATGGAGATGTTTAAATTTGTATTTGTAAATCACGTTTAGCAAGCCTGGTTGTCGGGGCGGGTAACGATAAAACGTGTAAATTGGGAACGAAACAAATACCTTTCAATGCGGATCTAATTTAATATGTCCAATTATAAGACTTTCACTCGGAGAACAAAACCCGGGGTGGTTTTTTTTCGAGGGACCGCCATTTGGTCGTCTCACTAATCTGTTCACTGAACACACGAATCAAATATTGTTGTTTTCAGAGAAGATTGGCATTACTGCTTCGGTACTAACAGAGCTCACTACACGTCCAATTGGAAAGTCCGGCGATTTGGAGGTTTTTCTACCCAAAGAGTCCAGATTTCGCGAAGTTGCTCGACTGAACTGTAACTTCAAGGGTTATAACCCTGAGAAACATGGCGTGACATGGTACCGTAATGGTACCGCACTACCCGTGGTGATGTATTCAACGTCGAGGGACGGAGTCCATCTGAACGTCTCTCTCGGTTTGCGAGACGCACCAATAACATTGGTGGGATACTACTGGTGCGAAACCTTCAACAGGAACGCGACGAGGCTTGAACGTTCAAATAACATCTTCCTACGCTATATAGGTAAGAATCTACACACTTGTCATCTTTTAGTCAACGTTTAATGTTCATTCGTGGAAGCGTTTACATGACGTAGTACTACGTTGACCGGTTAAAATCCGGGTTAGAGTTTGGTCTTCAGCAACCCATGCTTATCGTAAGAGGCGACTTACTTGACTTTAGGAATCGGTCATGCTGTTGGCAGGATTGTCTGGTTCAGACTCGATTATTTACAGACTGCCGCCATTATAGCTGGAATGTTGGTGAGTGCGGCGTTTAACAACACACAGTGTAGTGACAAAGCCCTGAACAAGTGTATCGATCACAACGTATACATTGTTTTGCGCTTAACAGAAACTGGATAATGTAATTAACCTCTACAGGCAAATAACCTATCACAAGCTCGAACATTTTACTTGTTGTTTATTCTATTTCTGTTTTTAAAATGGTTCTATCATTTGCTAAAACAATTGGATGACTGTTTTATTGTCATTAATCAATTACCTATCCAGGTAGAATTCGTTCCAGATAGTTTTGCAATCATGTCGTACGATTCCTTCTACATCATGTATCTATGAATCATGTTCAGTTATTGATGGTCCCAAGACTAGACTCTATTCGCAAAACGTTGAGCGTATCCTGCTCAATCGGTGACACAAGTCACAAACACACGCAGAGCTAAGTCAAGTTTTCACCACTGCAGACATGGGAACTTAATAAAACTTAATAACATGAATGTTTTAACATATCCCCCCACCGCGGGTCAGAAAATCGATAAACTAAGCCCCGGCTTACTATCCAGCACACCCAATACATAATATAAATCCGGTTCTAAGCCGGGGCTTAGTATATCGATTTTAAAGAGTCGTATGATGCCCGTGGACAATTTCGTAGGAAGTACATTCTTCATTTAGCTCAGACGTTAAGAAATGTAGACAGTATTGTTCGACAAGAAAGAAACGTTGGCTGTTGGATTGTGGAAGCCACATCTCTTGTCATACAGACTGATGGATATTTTATGGGTCGCTCTAAATCTTTATGTATGGATCTTACTATGATGGTCTCTCTACTTCTCGTGTGGTTTACTGAGAATCGGAGATGTCACGAGTGAGTGAGTGAGTTTAGTTTTACGCCGCAATCAGTAATAGTCCAGCTATATGGAGGTGGTCTGCAAATAATCGAGTGTGGACCACACAATCCAGTGATCAACAGCATGAGCATCGAACTACGGAACTGGGATACGATGACATGTATCAACCAAGTCAGCGAGCCTGACCACCCGATCCCGTTAGTCGCCTCTTAGGACAAGCATGGGTTACTGGAGACCAATTCTAACCCGGCATGAGGTGTTCCCTGAAAAGATTCAGTATGTCTTGCCTCACTGCGTCTGTTCAAGGGACTTTAGTAGCTAACTATATTACACCATATCAGATCAGCGGATAATTTTCGATCGCTAAAATCACGGGAATGGGTCCAGCGATTAGACTAGTATTACCTGAATGCCAGCCCAGAGGATGCTGTGGACACACAGTTTTCTTCGACCTTTGCTAGTATACAATCAACTCTGACGTGCCTTTGAGTGAGATATGTATTTAAACCTTTTCTGTTCTTTTGTGCAGATGAAGATCTGCATGCGGGGAGCATTGAGCTCCAACAAACTGGACTGATCCCTCCAAGCACTTATAACATGTTCAACTTAGCTGGGGTCGTCACTTTCGATATAGACAAGATTGTGAAAGCTTATAACAGCACCCCAAGGAACATATTTCCTGTCTTCATACATCCACTGAGATTTAGGTAAGAGAATCCGTGTTTCTTACATTTTAATATGGACTGTGATTCAGAGGACAAATCCAGAATCTATGTGACACTGTATAGTGAGGAGAGGTGAAAGGGAGGATATCGTCGCCCCTCAACATTTTGGCCCAGTATAGTGACGTCTTTGCACGAGTGTGTGTGGGCTGTTTGTACTGGACCAGAGTTAATTAGGCTGGTTTTAAGTAATTAATTTGTCCGCTTAGAAATCGGTTGAATGTGCCAGGTGTCCACACTTCATGACCTAGTTATTTAATAACATATATTGTTACGGTTAACAATTTGCCGTGACAAAAGGTTTAAGAAGTCCCTTTGAACCAGCAAAATAGAACACAGACAAGTCTAAAATATTCAATAATATATTGAACAAACCATGAGCAAACTACAATGAATGACAATACAAATTTCTAGTACAATATGTAATTGAGTCACAAATCTAAAATACTGGTCACAAATATAAAATGCTAACTCACCAGAGTCTTAACATTCACAGTGAGATCAAATATACTGACTGAAGGTAGTTTACAATGACAGCAGTTGAATAGACAAGCACGTTGAACAACTTGACGATGGCAGACAGATGTGTATAAATCCAGTCATGTGAAAGTTCCGTCGCACTACTCAACAACCAGCCTTTATAGCTCTTACACGGTTCTCGAGCATTCTAGCAAAGCTAGACTCCCTAGGCCTCATAATTCTCTCAGAACGATGCAGGATTTTCTCGAACATACGACCGGAAGTCAAAACAAAATATAGCCAGCCATGGGAGGCAACTCTGAAGTGCTATGAAAAGGCGTACCGCTAAAAATAATATTGCCATTGACCATTTATGATGTGAGATGCGAGCTAAAACCCACACTCGAAACTTTAAACATTGTGACCCATAATAATTATCACTTAATCAATGTGATATTACAAATTACAAAAAAACCCTCTCATATCAATATATTTGGTGCAACAGATTAAGAGAAGTTGTCATCATGAAGCATCTTGCTATTATTACTGGGCTACAGGCCATTTTCATGTACAAACAAAACATTGAGGAATGAAGGATTGATCGTAGGCTCTGATGTTTTACTTTCCCTTACTTTTCAGAAATGATGGCGCAGTATTGATTTCATATCATACCAGTCTTCAATAATGACTGATGGTTTTCTTGATCAGAAGGAAAATCTGAAAATGACCAAAGAGGACTTACAGACAGGATTTAGCATTAAATCGCCCAGCGGAATTTTTCCAGCCCCGCACTCTTCAACTCAGAAGTATTTGGTAATGCATTCATGGATTCATCTGTGGTATCAATACAACAAAATGTAATGGTATTCATCACGGGTTTGTCGTTGTCATATAATAGCTACCGCAAAAGTTTCAATGTATGATTCAGAAAGGGATTTTCAGTGCAGACTTGTGTCCCTTATGTGTACCAGACACCGATGATTGCCTTCCTATGATTATATGTTTCTTTGTTTGCCATATATTTTGTCCTTCAAAGACCATTTCATCGCTTCCGTTTTTTCGTTGTACCAAACTCACTCATTCACTGTATATTTCTCAAGAGTACCAAGTGGACTATTGTACCACTGAGACAAGAATTTAAACAAATCTATTGAAAAGGACCAATATCGGTACAATTATAACATGCAACACAATATTCTAGATTGTGATCTCCCACACAATTCCGGTATTGGGAAACTATCGTCACTGTCTTCAGATTACTGTTTTGACTTCAAACATGTGGTGGAGGAGACGGGCCAGGAGTTCCTGATTCCCCAGACCAGACTCGAGGGAGACATTCTACTCTCCACAGCGCTGTCTTGTCAGTATGTATACTCTGCAGCTTGTGCAGATATTATTATCATCATTATTATATTACGTTGTCTTCTCATCGTCAGGTATCTAAAAAGTACAGGGAAGTAATAGTAGTAGTATATTATATGGTAGTAGTAGCAGTACTAGTAGTAGCAGTAACAGTATATTTTTAAGTTGTGACAAAAGATACACTCATAGTTATTGGTTCCACCTTTACCACTATAAGACCTCATTAATGTTTCAAACAGACAATCGAGCGTTTGGTGAAATCGAGTGCAAGGGGGACAAACTATACGGCGCCTACTGGGGAGACTTCCAGCTTAATCGTGTCTGCGACGTCCCTGAACTACCTGACTCCCCCATATCTCCATCCCTGGAGACACTGTCGAAGGTATATTTTCTACGTTTTATGTGTCTCATCCATTTACTTCAGTCCAGCGGGATCGGATGGTCGATTTGGTGCCATTGTTCCAAACTTTCAATGTTAGGTTTCCTTCAGTTTGCTCAAAACTATTAGTCATTAAACTTAATGCGTATATCAAAATCATGCTCTACTCATCTCCACTAATGATCCGACAGGGTATACTATGTTAACTTCGTTAATAATTTCAATCTTTTAGCTTAGATTTCTTCCTCATTGCTTGTCCCAGGTTGCCGTGACAGATAGAAATGTGGAGGAGGTCCTTCAGAATGCTTCAACCATCATCAAGAATGCGACCTTGACCGTGATCGACCTCCTTTATGTGACAAGTATAATGGAAAACAGTGAGCAAGTACCGGAAATCAACATAAATGTAGGTCAAGCTTTAATTGCAATACGAGAGTGTTATTGGTTGAGTGAGTTAGTGAGTCTAATTTTACGCCGCTTTTAGCAATATTCCAGCAATATTACGGCGGGAGACACAAGAAATGGGCTTCATACATTGTAGCCATGTGGGGAATCGAACCCGGGAGATTAGCGTGACGAGCGAACGCTTTAACCACTAGGCTACCCCACCGCCCCTTACTATTGAGAAACGGTATTAAATGCGATCTGAAATCTGGATGTTACGACGTAAATTGTAATAAAAACGTAAATTGTAATACTTGCAGTAAATTGTAATAACCCTTGACGTAAATTGTAATAAAAACGTAAATTGTAATAGAAATTGACGTAAATTGTAATACGCAAATTGTAATAAAAATTGACGTAAATTGTAATAATTTTAGTTGCGGTAAAATGTAATAAATATTTACGTAAATTGTAATAACAGTTTTTTAATCATTCGTAAAAACGCGTGTGTTCGTTTTTTTGTTGCATTTCATTTTGTTCAAAGTTGGTACCAAGGTGTTGTGGCGGGAGTCATCGACACCAGTTGAATTTAGTGACCTTGCGACAACTTGCAAGGTCACAGCAAATATCTGAGGGTTTTGCCAGTATAAAAATTGTTAGCGCGATAACTCAAGAGAGAATTGACAAATTTCGCTTAAAAGTCGTACCCAGGTGCGTTGGAAGGATGTGCGGACACTAGTTGATTTGGGCGACCTTCAGATTGATAAATACTTATGGGAAATATAATAACCTTAGTATCAAGGGTGCTCTTAGCTTAATGACGAAAACTGATATTTGTCCTGATATATGATCGATATAAAATCTCCAACTGTCCTCTGTGTCATGTTTTTGGGGCAAATATCTGTTCAGGGTTTGATAGACAGAGGGGAGATTCTAACTGGTATATCTAACACACTTAAATGCATGTAGAGTTGGGAGGGGGGAGGGGGTGTTCTAACGGGTATATCTACGAGGGGCGTTCAAAAAGTAGTCAGCCTCACCAAGAATATGATACAATTACAGCTGTTTTTATGTTTTATTTTTCTACATATTATCTGTCAATCTAAAGCAAATTTGTTTTGCTATGTTCTATCCTCACGATAACTAATTTTGTTTGACTTTTTGTCTTGGTACTCCAAAAAACCGCAAAATCTGCAATAAATGCATCTCAAACAAAATGTGCAAGTGAGTGAGTGAGTTAAAAGTTTACGTCACACCGGCAATATTTCAGCCATATCTTAGGTATGTTACTAAGAATATATATATAGTATTATATACTTTTTAATAACCTGTCAGCGAAGGACAGTATAACGACTAGATTATCACACATTAATAAAAACTAGTTTGACTTCAGTATAAAATGCTAAATCATTTCAAAACAACACAATATAAAATCGGGCTACAGAAGGCAACGGAAGGCAGATCACCATGCTAGGGACCATGGGGACTTACGTTACTTTTGCTACCTGCATGGCCCGAGCTGGATTTATATCATCCCCTCAGCTTTTGGCGAATTTTGAGCAATTTAGCCTTAAATGAAAACTACAAACATTCTGCGATCAAACTTCTGGCAATTATCAACAAACATTGTATGATGTGGTCTTATGTACCCTCTTCGGAGGACAATATTTTTCGCTACTTCAACCATCTCCGCGGGTACAGCCACTAACAATCGTAGTGATGTATTCATTCGACCAAATTTAAAAAGAACGTATTAATTACAGTGCATGATCGATCAGAGTTGAGAGAGAATGGTTGTTACATGAAGTCACTCGCCATTGACGGTCTTTGCTGTTTCCTCTGATGACTAAACCACACTTATTGTTATATCAGATACATATTTAAAAAATCGTCATCTAAAGGAAATATATGCTCTCTTTGACCGTAATATAGTAATTTTCAGTTACACTATGTATATCAAAAGTTTATAACTTTCAAAGGTTAATGTTCATGCTCGTGCTTTGAACCGTGCCCCCGTTGTTTGTTCATGAACAGCAAATGTACAGTTTGCACCATTCTCATGCAGTTTATACTGTTAATCTCAATCTGGATACAATCTGGATACTCGTATCTTAGACGTGGACTGTGTGAGGCAAGCAGTGGGGGTAAACCTTGTTTGTCGTCACTAACCTGGACATTCTGTGGCTAGTTCCAAGGCGACAAGATTTTCTGGGAGGATGGAAGGTGTCATACTGATTTTGTGGTTGACACTTCTACTGCTGCTGAGAGATTCTACACGATAGGCCCTGTTATTACTTTGGGCCAAGGACGAAGTTTGTTGCGTGTCCCACTGGTGGGGCTGGGCGACTTCGACTTTGTTAACTGCTGAACATTAGAGATTGATAGACTGCATTTTTAAGCTAAAC